TTCCTGATAAAAAATTCAGCCCAAATAGACAAAATCAGAGTAGAGTCGTTAGCATAAACGATATAGAAAACTTATGTATTGTGCCAAGCAGAATGAAAGAGAACAAACTTGCTATAATTATTACGAAAAAAAATTTTAAAAATTCAATAACTCTCGAGCAGTAAGATGGTTTAGGTCGAATAATGTCTATAATTGAAGAAGACACTTGATATTGTTATGACATATGACCAGCTTAAAATCGACTTTTTGGTCAACAAAAAAGGAGGAGAGATCCTTAAGAACAAAAGATAGTTCTTTTTCCAAATCACTTGATCTAATTTTCTTATCCAATGTTAAATTTGTCTAATAGTTGTTCAACGTTTTTATTAGTCTTGAAATTAGAAGAGCAGAGATAACCTTCAAGTTTACATAATTCTAAGTCATTTTTCAACAAGTTAGACAATTGAGACAAGAAATATGTTCATCTCTCATTCGTTTTTGAGTCCGAAGTACCTCGGCAATCAATAGAATAGGATACTACTTAATTATCTTAATCAAATAAATTTAACAAGAAAATAGCGTACCTTCACACAGTTACGCGAAAGATCGAAAATATTTACTAATATTAACTAAACCTAATGTATAGTTATATAAGAAAAAGAATAATTAGACAAAGATAGTCATCGTTGCTTGTGAACCTTCTACACCTGGACGAGGTGGAAGAGGTCCGAGATTAAGGTTATTTGTTAAATCATCTGAACATCTACAATTACGGACAACATTAACCCATGGTAATTCATTGAAGTATGTAACATCAAGAAATGAAAGACATCTAATACGAGAAGAAAACATCGATAGATAAACAACATAAATTAATAAAAAAGAAGTGTGAGGGTGTTCAATCTTTCAAGCAAACTTAGTAACTTTTCCTTTTTCTTAATTTTACATGTTTAAATAATTGGTGATTTTATAATAAATGTGCTTAAACATTCATTTCTTTAAATGATATTATTTACATTATATAAATTAACATCAACTTTCAATTTTTGATATCAGTGGATTTAGATCAAGTAATTGATCAATTTGTATTTCATGAAATAAAATTTTAAAAAAACAAAATTAGCAGTCTTTACTTTTATAGTTTAAAATATCACTAATTATGAGTTGTTCTTCCTGTACAATTTCATAATTGGATGTTCGTATTCATTTATCATCCATATGTAAAAGATTCAAAATACAAAACAAAACTTTTTCAGCAACTACAATTTGAAAGGATTTCATTTTAAAATAGTATGATAAGATCATCTCGTGTTTTTTCCTGGGCTAAAGAATCAAAACGGAAAATTTCTAAAAATATAGAAATATTTTCGATACACCAAGAAAGAAAAACGTGAATATATGAAGAGATTTATAAGTATTTCCAATTAATTTTCAGAGTCATATTCAATAAAAGATTATTCCATAGCATTTGTTCAGATAATTAGAATATTTTCTGTTTCTCACCATTTAGCATTTGAACCGAAGTTCCTGCAAAATCAAAAAAAAAAGGATTTTGTTTTTTTTTGTAGTTTCAAGTTGAATTACAACGTGCTATGCAAAATTATTGGTCAATGACACCATGCACACAATATGTATATGCTAACAACCTGTTGTTGCACAATATAATCATGCCATATGGCCTTGTATCATTATATCAGTCTATTTTTGATTTTTTTTTCATTTTCATCCATTCTTCTTTTTTTTGTAAAGATGTTAATTCGAATAAAAATGAAGTTTGCATTTATCCTGTTGATGTTGGTCAACAAGAAAATATTTCTATGACAAATATTTGTTCATTATATCACAAGATTTTCATTCATCAACCAGCATTTGTAATATTATATCAATTATGTTCATTTAATAGTAATGTACAATTCATATAGCAATTAGATGATCTAATACATACTGAAGTTAATTGACTTATGGTTAAAATAATGTTAGTTGTAAAGTTTGTGATGTTAAAAAACAAATATGTTATGCTGTTGAAATTGATATTTCTAGTAAATATTATTTTTTTTTATTATATTTGACATTCGGATTGGAAATATTTGAGTAAAAGGTTTTTGTTTTTCTGAAAGTCGCATGTAGATTAAAGCAAGCGTTGAAGACGTAGTTTTACAATATCAAATTATGTATATCTAGAGATAATGAACTTTCGTAGAACTAATTTTATGACGGTCCACGAGAATTTAAAGTTATCCTGTTTTACTTTTCTATACACTATGTACTCCCTTTAATCCTTTTAGTCCCTTTAGCCCTTTTAGTCCTTTTAGTCCCTTTAGCCCCTTTAGTCCTTTTACTCCCTTCAGCTCGTAAGAGATGTTAACTACACAGCACATCATTTCAGTTGTGTTCATTTCTATTTTTCGTTTAGTCAAATTTTATGTCTTCGAATGATTACAAAGATTTATGATGGAATTTTAAAAAAACAATTTATTTTTTTATTAGTGAATGTTAGGATCGGACATCTATATGTATATATATACAGGGTGACCCAAAAGTCATGTTACCCAAAAAAAATTGAATATCTCCATTAGGGCTTGAGCAAATGAGCTGATTTTTTTGTCAATGATAGAGGTATGTTCAAGGTTTATATCCATAAAGACAAGCCTAGATAGACCGTTCTTTAAGTATCACCAGTGATCTCAACAAAAAAATTTTACTTTTTTCAAGATAAGAGAAAAAAACAATGTACTTGACAAAAGATCTCTCTAGGCATGTCTTTATGGATATAAAGCTTGAACATGCCTCTATCATTGATAAAAAAATCAGCTCGTTTGCTCGAGCCGTAATCGAAATATTCCATTTTTATTAGGTAAAGTGACTTTTGTAGCACCTTGTATATTGTTTTTTTTCTTATCTTGAAAAAAGTAAAATTTTTTTGTTGAGATCACTGGTGATACTTAAAGAACGGTCTATCTAGGCTTGTCTTTATGGATATAAACCTTGAACATACCTCAATCATTGACAAAAAAATCAGCTCATTTGCTCAAGCCCTAATGGAGATATTCAATTTTTTTTTGGTAACATGACTTTTGGGCCACCCTGTATATATAGGGTGTGGGTGCCTATGTAACCGTCTGTTTAACTCAAATCCACCCCCACCCCATCCAAACCCACACACCCACGCCCACACCTACATCCTATATATATACATATAGATGTCCGATCCTAACATTCACTAATAAAAAAAATAAATTGTTTTTTTTAAAATTCCATCATAAAGCTTTGTAATCATTCGAAGATATAATATTTGACTAAACCAAAAATAGAAATGAACACAACTGAAATGATGTGGTGTATAGTTAACATCTCTTACGAGCTGAAGGGAGTAAAAGAACTAAAGGGACTAAAAGGACTAAAGGAACTAAAGGGAGTACATAGTGTATAGAAAAGTAAAACAGGATAACTTTTATTTTTCGTGAACCTATGTTTTTCAACTGTCTAGGCGTAGATGTGAGTGTATCTTTTATCTTAACCCGCACTTACGATGAGGATTGATCAACTTGAAAAATTTTCAGTGAACGGTTTTCTTTGACAACACTACTTATGTTCATGAAATAGAACATCCTTAGAGAAATAATCATAATCACAGATTGTTGTCTATACATATGAAGGTAACTACTGTTTCCTTCATGCTCGATTCTATCTCCACCGTTTCTATTTAATAGCACTATTCAAAGTAAAATCTCGAAAACTACAGAAGTGCCATTTTGTCTTTCTCTTCTAATAACATACTTTTTGCTCTTGAATTGTCTTCGTGCTCAAATTAAAGAGATTTTACTCTAGTTGATTTCAAGACCTTATTGGTTTGCAGTGAACTGAGTCTACATCACTTGTTGCCATAATTGATCGTGCTGGGGGATATTGCGAAATAAAATACGAAAGATTTTACAAAAATAAAAATTTACATATGAATGATAACAAATTGCACAAGAGGTCGTATACATAGTTTGATAGAGCATCCTGAGCTCAACATCTGTCATACCGAAACTTTAAATAGAGAGCAGTTCGCTTGTTTTTGTCCGTTTTTTTGATTAATTTTCGAAATAGAAAACACATCTGTCGATAGAACTTGCAAAAATGATAGTTTATCTACATGTAAACTTGTCTCGAATATTGTTACTCAGAGCTGCTCTTTTCTTATTTGTTGTCTTTCTGCTTTTTCTTTCAATTGTGACATCTTCATTTGAAACAACGAAATACATAGCTACATCTATTAACTATAATGAAAGAACTATAAGAAAGATGATGTCTTCATCAAGATGTAGTGAGACAAGAGATAGAAGAGGATGTATGAAGGCTGTAGGTCTGTGACATGCTCTGATTGCCAGGATAACATTTGAAAACACGTAACCAAGAAGCTATACACACTTACGATTTTTTCTTTTGTAAGCACTTCAGATTGTAATAATAAACTTAGCACATGCAGGCAGAAAAGAAATGTATTGATTTGCTCACGGCACATAACTGTTTACAGCAGAAAGAAACTATTGACGAAGAAAGAGCCACAATTCATTCAGAATCGTTCGTTTTGTTGCTTTTCTATTGTGTGATGCCAAAGTGAAAAAGAATTGATGCTGTAGAATGCGACAACGCAATAGTACTCAAGCTGGGCATCGACACTGAAAGTGAGCGACAGATAGGAAAAAAAACGTAAGACATTGAATTTGAAAAAAAAACTTATCGAACAAATTTTGGCCAAATTATTCATCGAGAGTATGTTTTCTACTACACTCGATAGCCACATAAACATATTACTTTACTGCACGCTTCTGCTCATTTTTTTTTCTTCAATAAAACTTCTTTTTTTTCTGTGTTGTTGCAATAGGATAGGAAGCTCGAAAGATTCTAATTGATCCGTGGCTGTCGATAGAATTCTGGCTCTTTTACTTTTCTACGTCATCCCTAATGTTCTGATAAAAATGCTTTATTTTGAACGTTCTTTTCGCCTGTAAATGAAGTACAATCATTAGTTCAATATGAAAACATTATTTACTCCATTGGCTCTGAAATTACTAGTTTTAATACTATCTATTTTACTCCTCTGGAATTATCATTTTTGTTTATGGTCAACTGTTTCATTTAATAGTAACTGCCGTCTTTCTCTAGCAGAAAGTGACAACTTTATATGTGAATCGAATGCTCTATGGAATGAACGTAAATATGTCTATCAAAATCAGGACAAAGAGAATATGGTTAAACGAACACATCATATCTTTTTTCTTTCGAATTGGGAACCTAATTTCCATTGTTCTCATGCTAGTCGTATTGGCAATATGGGCGATGGTGGAAAATGGGTTTGTGATCTTTATCGACTAAAATCTCGTCGTGATTGTCTGATCTACAGTGCAGGATCTCACGGAACATTTTCATTTGAAACTGAAATAAAAAAAGTCATGCCTCATTGTGAAATCCATACTTTTGACAAAGATTTCTATGAATGTCCGGATGGCATCTGTATCTTTCATCAGATAATGCTCGGTGATGGAATTAAATCGAAAGGTTCAAAGAGCTGGACAATGATTCTTCAAGAATTGAATCATACTAATCGTCAAATCGATATATTTAAAATTGACATTGAAGGTGGTGAATATTTATTTTTTCCTCAACTTTTCAAGTCAACGAAAAGTTCGTTTCCTCGACAAATTCTTGTTGAAGTTCATCCAAGAAATCCAAAAATTATACATTCATTCTTCGAGCTGCTTCGCAAAAATAATTATGTTATCTTCAACAAGGAACCAAATCTACGAGCAAGCAGTAAAGCTTTTGAATACGCTTTCTTAAAACTAAATTCACGTTTTTTTGATCACAACAACACTAATCGATATTCTTGACTATATTCTTTTCAGATTCTTGTTTTTCTTGAATGTCATGCAAGGACAATTGTGTCTACAAGCAAGATTCTCTTTTTTTTTTTGTGAATCTGGTTTATTTATTAGAAAAAAAAATCATCAACTATAAAAAGGATTTACATAAAAATAATGAAATAAAAATACTTTATTTTCATCATACTTAAAAAAAAAAGAAAATAAATAAAGTATTTTATTTACATTAAAAACACACATCTTTGTTCTAATAATTCGTTTTCTTCATGTTTCTCATTTGTCATTGACGATGATTGACATGTTACTAAGTCGTTGTTATCTGAAAATTCTAAAGTCATCCATAATTTAACTCATTAATATATATATCAACGAATAATTCTTTATTTTGAAATATTTTCACGTATTTGATGTGAATATGCAGCTCATACTTTTTTTTT